TTGAAGCATACGGTTGAGGGGAGAAGGGGTCAGATGCAGCTGTGAGATAGAAAGGGGCCTCACTGGCCAGGCTAAGGACCTCGCTTTTGCTCTGTAGGCAATGGGAGACATTCTGGGATTTTAGGCAAAGGTTGGAGTTAGTCAGATTTCCACTTTAGAATATCACTCTGGCAGCAATGTGATGGGTAACTTGCTCAGAGCAGACTCAGAGGCAGGGAGACTAGTGAGGAAACCCCTGCAGTAATCCAGATGGAAATGGAGAATGAGCAGTTAAGTGCTACCTAGTGCCAAAGATACTAATGTAGACTAGTCTACACGTGCAGGTGGGGAGATAAAGGAGGGAGTATTAAGGTAGCAATAAAGGGTAGTGGGGGAAGCAGGAGATGTGGGGAATGACAAGCAGAATCAACAGGATTGATCTATCAAGAAAGTGAAGTGTCTCAGGATAACTGAGATTTCTGACTTGAGTGGTGCGTGGTGAGATGAGGAACACAGAAGGAGCAGATGTGAGAGGAGGGGAGGAGAGATGGCGGAGATGATAACTACAAGGATTGGGTTCGAGAGACTGGATATGAACCGTTGGCAGTTGGATGTGGCGGTCTGGAGCTCAATGGAGAAATCTAGGCTGGAAATACCGTTCTGCAAGTTATCAGCATGCAGGTTGTTTAGTTGATGAGAGTAAAGGAGGTCACGTCTGGAATGAGCAGAGGGCTCAAGAATCAGTGGTTTTGCCTTGATTAAGGGAAGGAGAAGTCTGGAAGGCTAGGCAGGTGAGGAGCACAGCTTGGACCTCAGCAGTCCGAGCAAGCGTCAAGAGGCCTAGGGCACCCTACTCGAGTTTGCAATACTTTAACTCATATCTGATGGCTCATCTTACCTCTTGTCAGGGTAGGAGTGACTTCAGGACCTAACCCATCACCGTGGAAGAGGACTCAACTAATCAAAGAATTGTGTAACAGTCATGGACGCACAAAGGGTCCTTGGGATGGGCCAAGTTCAGGGTCTTCATCAGACAGAACACAGATGTGAACACGCTGACATGCTGATGCCTGATTGGACATGTTAACAACTGTTTGGTTTCAATCTTCAACCCAATAAGGAGTTTCCTCAGGGAAAATATGAATGCAGCACAAATGGGAAAGCATTACTTTCCCACTATTGCCTGTTCCTACACCAGCAGTCTCTGGAGCTCAGGCCGAGACACCACCTTGTCTCAGCACCTAGATCCTATTAGTTGGGAGCCTCATCAATTCTGGTTGTTATGCTTGTCCTTTTCGTTGCATTCTGATTGGAACAGCTCTAAGCTAGGGTGAGCTTGTTAGTTCATCCGTCCCCATCACACCCTAGAGCAGCGGTTCTCAACCTTTCACAGGTGTCGCCTAAGACCATCGGAAAACACATATTTTAGATGGTCTTAGGAACCGAGACACTGCTCCTCTATCCGTCTCCAGGCCCACATGCAGATACGCCCACATACGAGTATCCGGCAACCCCTGTGAAAGGGTCGTTCGACCCCTAAAGGGGTCGTGACCCACAGGTTGAGAACCGCTGCCTTAGAGGGAATGTGGGATCCTCCTAAGACACTTAATGACCTTTTCGTCCAGAATTCAGCAAACTATGATGGTGGGCTAAATATGGCCCACCACTGTGTTTGTAAATAAAGATTTATTAGAACACAGCCCCACACATTCATTTATATATTGCCTAAGCTGTTTTGCACTGCAATGGCAGCATTGAGTCATTGCAACAGAGACCGTATGTCTCACAAAACCTAAAATATTTACTATCTTGCCCTTACAAGGAAAAGTTAGACCCAGACAGACCAATCCCAGACTTCATATTTACCTGTTAACCCATCCTGTATACTGGTGCCAGATGAATGTTCCTAAAATATCATTTCACTATATACTCTCTTGATTAGAACCCGATGATGACATTGCATTGTCTGCACAATAAAATCACAACTTCCTGGCCTGGCATTCAAGGCCCACAGTGATCTAGTCCTAGCCTATCTTTTCAATCATTGATTCTTAAAGGCAGGCCCTGCACCCCAGTTAGATTTCCCTCCTCATTGTCCCTGGAATATGCAGTATAGTTCCACCCTTGCTCACACAGTTCCCTTTTACCTGGAATGCACTGCCCGTTCACCTGTATCTACCTAATTCCTACCCATCCTTAAAGAACTAACCTAAAACCTGCATCTTTCATGATCATATCTATTCCAGTGACCACTGATGAGTCTACTGCTCAAGCATGTAAAGGTTCACTGACTGAACCATCTGGTAATATTTTTCCTTCAACTCAAAGCATGGTTCACCAATATGATGGCAGGCAACTGGAGTGAGGACTTTCTCTATGAACCAAGGCACAGAGGTTGGATAGACTAAGAAAGGTTTGCAAATGACCAGATGTGTAATTAGAACACAGGCTTAGTCCATTCAGGCTTCCATAACAAAACACCGTAGACTGGGTGGCTTATAAACAACAGAAATTTATTCCTCACAGTTCTGGATGCTAGGAAGTCCAAGATGAAGGTACCGGAAGATTCAGTGTCTGTTGGGGGCCTGTTTCCTGGTTCATAGATGGCTGCCTACTTGCTGTGTCCTCACGTGGAGGAAGAGGCCAAAGAGTTCTCTGGGGTCTCTTATAAGGGCACAGTTCCATGCATGAAGGTTCCACCCTCATGACCTAAGCACCTCCCAAAGGCCCCACCTCCTAATACCATCACCTTGGAGGTTAGGTTTCAACATACGAATTTTGGGGGCGGACTCAAACATTCAGTCTATAGTAAACACACAGCATTCAGTTAACATTTATGGAATTATTGTGTCATCAGCATCTTGTATTCTTAACCTACTGTATGCTGGTTCTGGATTTAAATGTAAGACAACTACATATCTTAATAGCCAGTAGGAATGAATGAGAAAGTCCAGCAAACATACTCTTGAGAAATCCTGGAATACAGAGACAGTGGCTGGTTCTGGAGGTCCTTGCTTTAATCATGTAGTAACTCTGAGTTACTGGATACACGAGCTCTCTCACTGGGCCTCACTTTCCTTGTCTATTGTCATATATTATGTGTCCTTGGACAAACTCTGATTATGCAGCATCAATGATGCGCCACTGATTGGAGTTCTTTGGTAAATGATAAGCTTCTAAATCAGCAGTTCTCAACCTTCCTAATGCCGTGACCCCTTAATACAGTTCCTCATGTTGTGGTGACCCCCAACCATAAAATTATTTTCGTTGCTACTCTATAACTGT